TGTTTTACCAAGGGTAACAGCATCCTAAAAGTAAGACATATTTCATCATTGGTTCTCTTTGGTATGTATTCTTATTTTTATATACAAAAAGTAAATAAGCCTAGGCACCAGTCTTATACCTGAGTGCCAACAACTTAAGTTATTTTATTCAGTGAGTATTTATTTATGTGATTATTGTATATTCAGCAATTTCCTAAATCCCGAGATACACAATATAAAAGTACACGTGATCTCTACCCTTAGGAGACTATAATGCTTTTGAGGAATCACAGACACTGAGAGTATATGAAGCATTTCTGGCTCAAGTTGAAGTTTCTGTAGGAATGAACTGAAAATACAGCCAAAATTCGAAGGAGAAAAATGTCTTTGTGAAAGGGTTGTGTCACTGAATACATTTATAAGAACTGTGATTTTGATCTAGATGGAATTGTTAGGTGCTACAAGTCTTACTCATATTCCCATCTTATATTTACAACAGCTTAATTATCTGCCGTTCAGTGAGCATTTTTATTGTGTCAGGACACTCCAGGTACATTATTTCATTTGGTTTTTTTTGACAACCTGATGAGGTAGATAATAGCTCATTTTACTGTTGAGTCTTAGAGATTGTATAACCTAACTAAGCCATACTGCTAGTCAGTGGCAGACGGAAACTCACACTCTGGACTGTATTGTCTCTAGGGACCTGAGTTCTTAACTGTCACTACTCCTTCTCATCCAAACTTGGTGAATGAGCAGCCTCAGGCTCAGAGAGGCTGAGTTACTTGTTCAAGTTCACACAGCTAAAAATGGCAGAACTGAGATTTAAATCCAGCTGTCCAAAGTATTAGACTAAGTCATGTGAATTTGCTGATTATTTGACCTACAAAAGTGGCAGTTTTGTATAGCTTCATGCATGCTTTTTACACAAAACCATATTATCATTAAATGAATATGGGGTCCAGATTAAGAGCAGGGAGGGAAACAAGGGCATAAGAGATGTCAGAGGAGACACTTTAGATAGATAAGATAAACCTGCCAATGGAGGGTCAGGAGAGCCAGGGTGCAAATTTCAGAACTGATCCAATAACAAATAATAAATGAACATGTTGGCTTCTGCACACTGCTAGGCACTCCTCATCCTCAAACACAGGGTCTGGCTTTGTGTAGCAAGAATGAGCACATAATAATGTTCAAGGGAACCTCAGTGGGCTTACAGGATGGAGGGGAATTAGCAAGGAGGAGAACAGAATGAGCGCCATGATGTGTAGGGCACCTTTATGGGCATGGCATGAATGAACTAAGGTTTTGGAATGGCCAGTGTGATTCAGAGTTGAAAGTTATGGTATAGAAGAACTCCGAAAGTTCTGAAGCAATTTCAGCAGGTAACCAGAATGAAAGTAATCCATCAGTTTTTCATTCCTTCAAAATTATTGTATGATTTTATCTGTGAAATTGTTAAAAAGTACCTTTCACTGTTTAGTATCCTCAGCTTATTGTGAGTTTTCAAGGCTTAAAATTGTAAATTTTAGCACCAGATGAAGCAATAAAAGTCATCACATCCTTAACCCAACTCAACCCCTTTGCACACAAAGAAAGCAACACTTTCTTAGAGTAAACTAAATCAGACATTGTACGATACTTGAACTCACAACAACTAGTTTCTAATCAAGAGTACTTTCCACCATTACATTAACTCTTATTTTACTTGACGTAGTCTTTAATTTGGTGTTTCTATGTTTACATATTGAAAGTGAACATAGGATTTTTTATGAATATGTTTTTATGTTTCTACTTTATATAACAACATATTCTTTGTGAGTTCCTGTTGGGTGTATTCAGTAACATTTTAAGAAAAAAGGTGCTTTTAAAAAAAAAATCCTGTGAAATGCGTTTTAGTTTATATGCCCTTTGAGAGTTTTTAATATGTGAAATTGTAATACACAGACAAGGATATAGGTAATATATAAGTTATGAAACCTAATATAAAATGAATACCTCTAAACCTACCACCCAACTTAAGAAATGGAATATGATCAATTCCTGTCTCTGTATATTCCTAACTTGTGACCTCTCTGTCAGCCTCCCATCAGACCACAAAGCCATTTTCTATCATATATCACATTTCTAGACTTTTTTATGAATATCCTTTATCTAGTTAAGAAATTCTCTTCCCTTAAATGGGATTTAAGTTTGGTAAGTGTAGGTTTCATAAATGGATGTTACATTTTATCAGATGTTATTTGCAACTGTTGAGGTTTTTCTCCTTTCTTCTGTTAATGTGATAAATTGGATTAATTCATAGATTATTAATGAGATTAATTTAGAATTCCTAATATCATCTTTTCATTTGTAGGATAACTTCAACTTTTTTTTAATGATTTCATTAAATTTCATTAGCTAATATAATTCTTTAGGACTTCTGTCTTTTGCATCTATTTTCAAAAGTGAAGTTGGTAGTTTTTCTTACACTGTCCTTGTTTATTGATCAGTTTTACTGCCTTCACAGAATGAGTCAAAGTTTGTTTTCCCTAGAATAATTTCTTTAAAATGGAAAATATCTTTTCTTCAGTGTTGGCTAGAACTCACCTATGAAACCCTTTGGACTTGATATTTTCTATAATATATAGAAATTTTGGTGATTTATGTGTTTAATTTGTTGGTTGTTAAGGCTTTTTGGGTTGGTTTGTGTGTTTTTACTAACTACAAAATTTTTGTAATATTCTCTCATTCTTATTTTGTCTCTTGCGGGAGGCTTATAACTTGATTCTTTTTCTAACTATGTAAATTAAATCCCTTGCTTGTAAGTTGTCTCTCCTGATTTTTTCATATAAATATTTAGAATAAAATAATTTTTTCTCTAAATGCCTCTTTAGTGTTGAATCCCACAAGTTTTAGCATTATTCATGTAAAATTCGGTTCAAATTTGCTTTTTTTGATCAGTGAGTGATTTTAAAGTGTTTTTAAATGTCTAAACATTTAGGATTTTTAAGGTTAATTTTGAGTCAGTACAAAAAGATATGATTGATGTACTACGTTTTCTTAAACTTTGAGATTTGCCTTATAGCTTAATACATGATGAGTTTGCATAAATGTCCATAGGTGCTCCAAAGGAATGCATATTCTCCAATGTTTAGGCATAGGATTCATGCATACCTTTAGGTCAAGCCTGCTTCTTTTGGGGTTCAGGTTTTACTCTGTTTTCATTGTTTTTAGATGCCATTTACAGAGGAATATTAAAGCACCTCAATGTGATGGTGAATGTGCCTCCCTCTCCTTGCAGTTTTTTTGCTTGATTTCTTTGGAAGCTATAAGTACCGCATATATTGTGATGGGTACAGCATATAAATGACGATATGTTCTCAACTGAATCACCATTGTTTCACTTTTCACTAGTAAATTTTTAATTTTTCCCTAGATGTATTCTCTCTGATACTAAAAACATGATTCAATTTTGGGTACTTTCTGCCTGTTTATCTCTTTTCATCCTTTAACTTCATTTTCTGTCTCTCTGTCAATTAAATAGGTCTCTTATATAAATATGCATTTAAGACAGCCTGACATTCTGATTTTTAAAATATCTAAACTGGAGAGTTTAATTCATTTAAGTTTATTATGGTTACTGATAAGTTTACTCCTCTTAGACTTTCTATTATTTCTTTTTTTTCTCCTTTTTTGCCTTCCTTTGAATTGAAAGTATATTTCTCATTCTGTCATTTTTCTCTCTGATTTGGGAGTTATATGTGTTACTACTTTCAGTAATACCTAGAAAATTTTAACATTCAGCCCAACCTAAAAGTTAGTGTCTTTACCCTCATCCTGAACTAAATAAGGATTTTTAACTCTGCTTCTCTTGCTTATGCTATTGTTACTCAGATTCTTTATTTCACCTTATTTGTTTAGTAATTCTATAAATTACTCGTTGTGTCCATCATTTAATAGTTTCAGAGTATAGATTCATCCTTGTGTTTACCAGTATTCCTGATGGCAAGTTGGCCCTTCCATCAGGGAAAAGTTTTTACTCTCCTCAAAGTACATGCTTTAGAAATTTTTATGGTAAAGGTAAAGGTCTGTCTGTGATACGCTACTTTTTGCTCATCTGAGAATGTAATTTTATCCTCATTCTTAAACGCTTTTGTTGGCTAAGCATTTCTAGCTTGCCAGTTATTTTCTTTGAGCAGTTTGAAAATATTACACTTTCTTCTGGCTTCCTTTGCTGTTGAAAATCTTACTAGGATTCTTTTGTGGATAACCTCTTTTCTCTCTGGCTGCTTTTTACTGCCTTCATTTTCCTTTGTTTTCTAGGATTTCACTATAACATGACCCTTGAATAACTCAATAGTGTAAGTTTCCTCTAATTTTTTCTGCTTGGGATTTGTTAGTCTTCCATCAATTCTGGACATTTTTTATGGATTCAGAGCAGATACACTGTCTCCCCTCCACGCAAAGCCACTGCCAAGATGGATGAACTACTTGCTGTCTGGTTTTATAGGGTAGAATTTTTTTCCCTAGTTCACTCTTATCCTGAAAGTGAAGGCTTTCTTGCATTTTAGCTTTAAGGAAGAGCGTTCTCCAGTCGTACTTCCATCCTACAGAGGCCCATCCTACAGACTTTATACCTGTTCCTCTGAGTGAATCAGGCAGTCAAAATGAAAATTCTAGGCCATTGATGTTCAGCTGAAATTCCCAGGGCTAGCAGCGTAAGCATTTACTAGACTCCTGGTTCTGCTTTATTTCTGGTCTCAGCATTTCTCTTATATTTTGCAAGCCCTTCAATTTTTAAGAGGTATTAGGTATTAGTGCATATAAATTTTATGTGTGTGTGTGTGTGTGTGTGTATTTTATAGATTTATATTTATTAGACAATGATTTCTTTTTTACAGGAGTGTTTCAGGACCTCTACTGATAGAAATGGAAGCCTGTCCTTACTTTGCCTTCTAATGGAAATTTTCTTTGGTTTTTTTTTTGCTTTTTTTTAATAAATATCCCATTTCGTTCCTCCTTTCACTTTTTTCCTACAGGTGAGCAGTAGGTCATCCAGTCCAAGCATCAGAATGATCACTACCTCAGGACCAACCTCAGAAAAGCCAGCCCGAAGTCATCCATGGACCCCTGATGATTCCACAGGTGACCAGTTTACTTCCTGCTAATTAAGAAGTTGAATGCATCATGTTTATTCTCATTTAGTGTGTCATTACTCTAATATTTACAAAGGCAAGCATTATACAGTAGTCTAGATTTTCTTATTAGTAAAATCAAATATTTAGCAATAAACTTAAAAATATCTTTTTTGAATACTGAGACAGAAACCATTTTACCCTCCACAATTTTTCCTTCAAGCTACTAAACATGTGCTTTGAAAATAGTTTGTTTTGGGGTCTTTCCAGATAGGAAAATACTACATTCTTGATACTTCAGTCTGTGAATTTCCTGTCATGATCCATCCTACTGGACAATGGAAGAAAGTCATTATCTTTTAAATAACTAAAATCACCAGAATTGTAAAAATAATTATCTTCATCGTAGTCTTTTGTTTTAAAGCCACGAAATATCATATACTTTAGTGAGAAAAAAATTTCTGATCATTTACAATTGTGTAATTTTTAACTGATAGGAAGAGTGCATTTCAGTTACATACTCTGTTCAATAGACCTTTAAAAGCCTGTTCAGAGTTATTAAAACTCTCTAACATAAGTAACTTAACTGATCAAAATATTAGTATTAAAATCTAATGATGGAATAGTTTTATTATAAGCAAGTAGGAAATTATATACTGTAATGGAATTAATTTTTCCATAGTATTAGGAGAGTACCTTGATAAATATTCAGCAGCATGCTTTTATAAAAGTTATTATTTGCATGTTAATTATTGTCAGAGAAAGAAAGCTGATCTCTTAGACCTTGGAAAATTAAGCATTTGGGATTTTATATAAGATCACCTGTATTAGTAGTGGCAATTAAATTCAAATTAAAAAATCAGCCTTCTGTCTTTACAAACTAAAATACAGTTTACAAGTTTTTATAGTTACTTGACATGGCTTAGTCAAGTTCATAATTTAATTTAAAAAATTAACTTGGTGGCTTTTCTGTGTCATGTAAGAGAGAACTATGTTTAGCCAGGGGTGTACTCTCTCGTTTTAGTAAGTTTAAATTTAGTGGTGACAAAAATTCCTCCAAGACAGCCCAACCTGGGATTGCCCAGAACATTCACCAACCACTCAGCACATGTGCAGAATTCACCGTGACGTGCTGCTTCTCAGAGATAGACAGGGACTGACCATTAACATTTAGGTAATACCAGCTCTTTTTTGGTTCCTAAGCCCTCTGGCGAGGGAGTACTCACCCTGGCATTACAGCATGGCCTACACCTGGTACTCAGCCTAGCAGGGCCTCTTAACCTCAGCCTAGATGTATCTAACATAGACATGCCAGTCAACAGATGGCAGATTGTGGATTCTTAAGAGGAAATCAAATTTCTCTTCTGTCCCCCTCATTTCACTGCCATGTTTCCACTTAATGTGTTCTCCACCCTTTCAACCCCACCTCATGTTTTTCTCTCTTGGGGCCTAAAATGCCACAAAATCATCAATAGCTAGAAATCATATCTAGGTCCAGATTGCAACATCAGCTGGATTTGGTCTTTGCCTTGAAGTATATGGCAAAGAGGTGATTATCATTTTTAAATAATCTGAATACAACTTCAGAAGTGACTCTGGTTTAAATTTATAATTAGTGAGGATCAGCATTGTACTATCTCTAAGAAAAGTATTGATAATCAAGCGAGTAGAATAAATTACAGTGAAGAGATAGGGAAAGCGTTTTTCTTTGAAAGCCCACTGACTCAGGAAAATGAGAAGTGCATTCGTAAGTTAACCAATTAATTATATTTTTTTAAGTTTAAAAGTGAATAGGTTTCTTTGTACTTTCAGAGAAAAAGAGCATAACAATTTAATAATCATAGCATTTATTGAGTGTTCTTGGGTTTCTATTTATAACAGTGGAGTTAGACATATACCCAAGAGCAGCTAGAGAGAGAAATGCCTAGTCCCAGTAGAGGGAGCCACGGGTGCGGGTCGGGGGAAGCTCACTGAAGAGTTTCTCCTGTGCTTAGTACTTTGTAAAGATAGAAATATAAGGCATGGCCCATTGCCTGCAGTCTGACTATAGAGTCATAATGCACTTTAAAAATAAACTCATGCTATAGAATAAACTGCTAAATTTGCAGTACAAGCTGAGTGTTTTAATTCTTGAGAAATCAATTAGAAAAGACCTGACATACTCTGCAACTTTTTTGTAAAATAGTGAGACGTGTTCTGCAGTCATAAAGCAGAAAGAAGACAGCATTCCACATGAAGAAAGCGCATAGTTAGAGAAGGTAATATGGTTATAACTATTGTGTTTGAGGGGCCAGAAAATATTTCTCCTAATGTAACCAAACAAACATGAGTCTTGACATTCCGGAAGAGAGCTTCACTTTGATTAGCAATTGAAACATTAAAAAACAAAACTTTTAAGGTATAACCTTACAATCTTGTGATCAGCTACTACTGTTAGAGACTAAAAGCTAAATACTGGTTTAAGCATAAGTGCGAAAGTAAAATCTCACTTGGTCTAAAGAAAAAAATGAAATTCAATAGAGGCCCTTTAAATTCCCTACCATCAAAGAGCTTTAATTGTTTGAATAGCACAATCCTTTGGCTTTTTTTTCCCCCACCTCCCAGAATACTGTGAATCATTGATCTATTATAGTTAATTCTGAAGTATATATCATATGCAGGGTACTTATCAGGTATCAAACATTGAAGAAAGAAATGGGAGTGGAAATGTTAAATTGAAAAAACTCCTTAAAGACACTCATTTTTTTAAATATTAAATAAAGTCAGGGGAAATCATTTTTAATCAATTTTAATTTTATGGAAAGCAGTTTAAAACTACTGTTGTGGGTAGGGAGAGGGTCTGTCAGAGAAATAACAAGTGTATTGTTTACCCATTTCAGAAAAGCATTTATGTTAGCATATAACTTTAGAGTAACTAAGGCTCTACTAGGCAATACTCTGTAATTCTTTCTTTATCATGCTTCATTATTTAATAAATGTTACTTTCTTAATCTGAAATATAAACTTGACTATTTAAAGTCCCTTCCCAATTCTTCATGTAGTATCACAGTGACAATATGAATAAGAGTAATAACCATCACCACCATGTGTTGCTAGCATTGCATGGGATTCCTTACATGCATTATCTCATTTGATCTGATTCAGCTTAGCTTTTGATTCAGCTCTAGCTTTTAGAATGTGCAAGCACATTCTCAGTGGCTGGAGTATCAGTCAGCAGTAAACTACTGAAGTGACTGAATCATGAAACTCAGTGTTTTTATTGCATCGGATGCAGTGCCCTGTGTCGTCCTGACCTTGCCTTTGTCTGCCCCACTCTTTGAAGGAGTTACTTGTCAGCAAAAGGGCTGAACAGTTTACTTGCTTAGGTCGTTTGTACAGTGGGAAAGTGGCTGCTTCTGAAATTGAAAAGTGCATGATACCTCATGGTGACCCCATGGGCTCTGGAGGCATGAGTTAATGCTGGGAAGAGCCCACCACGTGCTGCGTGTATGAGTTATTACAGCAGTTTTACCTCTTATGAAATACAAACAAAACCCGTCTGTTCAAATAGTCTGATAAAATTGACTGGATGTTTGAATTAACCTATTTAACTGTTTTGGGTATGACTTTGAGCCCATTCCCATACTGTTCACGTGTGTTAATGCGCTCCCATCAGCGTCATGTCTCATTTTCCACAGTGGCTCTCATTTAGGGGGCAGGGTGGGAGTCTCATGCCAGAATGTGTATAAAACGAAGGTAACCCAGTGGAGTAGAATGTGTCTCTTGCCTTCCACCTTCCCAGGTAAAGAGCACTCCTTTTACGAGAGTGGTCACAGCCTTATAGTAAACCTAACATGTTCAAGGAAAGAGAGATACGGGGTTTGATTAGATAGGGTCAGTGAAGACTGAGTAAGTCCTGTATCACTGTTTTGGTTTTTAATTAAACAAGGGCTTACAAGCTTTAGTATTACTCAGTTTATAGCCAACTTAAATTATGAGAGTATGGCTGCATTCTAATTATCTGGTAATTGGGTGTCCTCCGTTTACCTTGAGAATTCAAAAATAGACTCCTTTCATTACCAGGAGCAATAACTTCTATTTTATGTGTTATATGCTTTAGGGAAAAAATATCAGTATTTCATGCATGCTTTCTTGCTTTTTGTTTATAATCACTTATGACAGAAAGTAAATAAAATACATACTTGAATTCCAGATACCAATGGATCAGATAACTCCATCCCAATGGCTTATCTTACACTAGATCACCAACTACAGGTAAAGGAGTGTTTTCTCAGTGAATATTTACTTTCTCTGGAGAAAAAGTTTAGAGAATTTATCATTAAAGCTGATGGTTGTGTTCTTGTCTGTCACGTATTCATTTATTTATGCTTGTAGTTGGCCGCCTTAAACTTTAAAAAGCAAGTTCAAATGAACGATTCTCTTAAGTCAGTCAAACTAATTGGCAGAATCATATGTTCTTATATTAACAGTCATCTTAAAATATTTGCATATCTTTAAGACTGCCAGGAATAGCATTTTTCTCTTCAATTTTAGTGAATTAAAATTCAGAATTCCTATAAGCTCATTTCTACTTAATAGATATTATGGTACATTGTCATGTTCATAGTCACTGAAGATATAAGTAATACACTTCTGTGTCTTCTCATGAGTATGAGAGCTGTAAACATCTTTTGGTATAATACAGTTTAGGAACATGAAATGTAAATTCAGAGGCCAAGAGTGTTCTAGTCATGGTTCCCTTTAACAACGAAGTGTCAGAGCAGCAAGTTGTCAATGTAAGTGAGCTAATAACTCTGACAGAAGGACCCTGAGATTTTTAGGGCATTGTCTAAACTTGCATTGAAAGAATTATTGCTTTATGCTATAAAAATGTCACAGTACCTTAACTCTCAGCTAGGACTGAAATTTGATTTAATTAATGTTTTAACATTTCTGATTTATTTTTAGCCTCTAGCACCATGCCCAAACTCCAAAGAATCCATGGCAGTGTTTGAACAGCACTGTAAAATGGCACAAGAATACATGAAAGTTCAAACAGAAATTGCATTGTTACTACAGAGGAAGTAAGTTATCTTTTGTGAATAAAGGTTAAAGCACATTAGTATTTTGAGTTTAATGTATTTCAGGTACAATGTTGTATGAAAACTTACAAATTTTAGAATTAATCATTAAGCATATTTCCAACTTGGAGATTTTTATGTATATTCATTTTTAAGTTTTAAGCACCCTTTGGCTGTTTGTCATGCAAAACTCAACCCTTTGGACTCTCTTAATACTAAGAAAAGTAAACCTGTGCTACATAAATATGTGTTTTATGTTGTCAGAATTTTAAAGTCAAAAGCTGTTTAGATTTATTATTATAAAGATTTATTATTTCCTTGGACATAGGGAAAATAATTTACTAATGTTCAGTTGTACTTTATCTTAGAAACATTTTTGAAGATACATTCTTTCCAGGTTTATATTTAGGACAGTAGAATTCCTTATTAGAGGGCTTTATTTCATACCTATGGGTATTTTTCTGGGGAGTTTTATGCTCACACGTTTTCTGACTTACAAAGACTGCCTCCCTTCTTTTCTTAAGAAAGTTACAGTATAATTTCCATTCTTGTTTTTTTTTTTAACCATAACTCTCATGAAATTTTTTATACCCCTGATGCTGACTTTTAGGGTAGCAATTAAAATGAAGTGTTACAGGAAAAAATCATGGTAACTGTATGTATACATGGCAGTAGGATTCTCTTTATTAGTCTTAATCTAAATAAATGACAGTTCTGGTTTCCTGAAGTAATTGTGGAAAGTTTTCTGTTTATACTTCCAAAAACCAGAAAAAGAATAGTTTCGTTCCAATTATTGATAAAATGATGTAAGTGAATTCAACTTTGTATCTTAAAGGTAAAGGCTGGATAAGAAATAAATATTAGAGTGCAAATTGTGGAACTGTGAAACTTTTGGCACTTTGTATTAAAGGAAAAAACCTGTATTTCTTATTTCACACATTTAACCTGTACTTTTTTCATACTTTAATCTTTTGATGGACTACTATGCTGGAAAAAAAATGGTTGATGGAGGGGACAAAAACTATGACAGTATTGATCAGTTTTGAATACTTTAAATGCGAAATCTTCCTAGAAAATTCTTCTGAGAACTTCTGGGTTATATTCAGTCATATCCAGTAGCCTCACTTTAGGGAGCTAATATTTAATATCTCCCGGATTAAAGAGACTTAAAGTTCATCAGGCTAGAAAAGATTCTGAGGGTCCTCCCTGAAAATGTTTGCAAAAGTGAGTAATTTCAAAGTAGTACTTTGTATTGTTTTCACTGTTTTAAAATAGGAAAGAGATTTAATTTGATAATACCTATCTTAATCTTAATTAGCTTGCAAATGGTGTAGTTAAATGGGATTGTGACTATAAAAACATATTTTAAGTTTTAAAGTAGAATGTGAATGATAAAAACCTCAAGTGTTGTTTCCCTGTAGTCAGATAAAGCCCTTCACAGCTTTTTTCCTTCCTTACTACACAGAAGGGATACCAAATGAAATTTTCTGAAACTTCTATTATATCATTTCATTTGTTTCACTAATTGTCAAAGCGCAGTTACTTATTAAAAAGATTATGATATTTGTATGGTTATATCAGGAGACTAGATAATAGTTTCCATTTCGGCCCACAATTATATTTGAGTAGGGTACCTAAAATGCATAATGATAGATCCAGAATAAAAATTGTAATTAATTGAGCTTCCCTCATCAGCTATTAGGGTATGAATTTTTCCATCATGTATATTTTCTTATGTTGTTTTTTCTTAGGCAAGAACTAGTTGCAGAACTGGACCAGGATGAAAAGGACCAGCAAAATACATCTCGTCTGGTACAGGAGCATAAAAAGCTTTTAGATGAAAACAAAAGCCTTTCTACTTACTACCAGCAATGCAAAAAACAACTAGAGGTCATCAGAAGTCAGCAGCAAAAGCGACAGGGCACTTCATGATTCTCTGGGACCGCTAAATTTTAAAATATGCAAAGAAAGACTTTTTTTTTAAGGAAAGAAAATCTTTACAATGACAATTCATGAGTGTTAGCATTTTGGCGTGTTCTGAATGCCAATTGCCTATATTTGCTGCATTTGTTTCATCGTATTCCTTTTCTCATGGTGGACATGCTCTTCAACTGTCCCCTTGCATAACATGGGGGCATCTGTAACTTGAATAAGCAGCAGTTCTCAACTTCACAACAGACGCTGTGAACTGTGGCAGTATATGCATGCTCATTATGTGAACGCCTTAAAAAACGGGGGGTCAAACTAGCTGCTATATGCAAACATCATCTTTTTTTCGAGGTGGAACCTCAAGAATGATTTTGTTCTTGTATCTCATCTCAAAAAACAAATAATTTTTTTTCCAAAAGATGGTATATACCATGTTAAAGACAGGGTATTATAAATCTAGAGTAAATGGTGGTACATTATGGAAATGCAGAACCTTTAGGAATAGTTCAAAGTGAGAGCTTTGAACGCCAACATCCTTGGATCAGGATTGAACTTAGTTCCATCAATAAAATATTTAAAGGTAAGTGGTGGCTGCTGTATTTAATAAAAGCATATTTCATTAGACTAAAATTTGACTATGATACATTGAACAAAATGAAATCTTTTCTTAAGGTATAAAGATTTTAAAGATTTTTAATTCTGTTTGCGTGTATGTGTGTGGAAACTGTAAAGCTTTTATGACTATTAATGTTTCTTAAATGAAATTAAAAGGTAAATGAACATGATCCAGCTTAAATGATCATTCCTTCCTATAATGATTATTGGCTTGTTTTATTGTATATTTGAAAAACTGAAAAGAAATAACAGAAAATGGAAATAATTGCTCCAGCTAAAAGCCTCGGGCTTAGATTTCTGTTACGACACCAAATAAGTAAAGAAACCGGCAAATGAGAAGTTAGTAAGGAAGTTAAAGAGGTAAATATAAATTGGTCAGTTATCCTATTAATCAATATTGGAATAATTGATTTTCCTTTGCATCCTAGAATGCCTGTTACCTTTCAACACTTTTAAGGGCATTTCAGCACTTAGAAAAAGAGGAAATTTATATTGCTAACAGTAACTCTGCTACCAACTTTGAAAATAAAAATAATAATAAAACTTCATTGAAATAAAAGACTATATATAAGCTCTATTTTTTCAGTTGGTATTTTATCACATTTTGATACCAGTATAAGGTATCTTGAGTAAGGATGTCATCACCCTCATCTTCATAGCATTAATGTTTTATGAAGAGAAAATTTTAAATGAAAGCATAATTGCTGTGATTACTAGAATTCTATCATGATTGTATTGTAGTTTTGCTCTATTTCAGATAAGCAAGTTGGCCTAAGAAGTTACCAAAACTATTCTTAAAAATGCTAAAGCAAGTAACTTTCTCTTCCTTTATTGTTTCTTTCTCCCACTGAGTTTTATAATGTATTTCTTGTGTATACAAGCAATAAAGGTAAAGGATAGTTTGTACTAAAATGTTTCATTTCCAGCTTCTCCAAAATCCATTAGAAAGTTATAGTAAATAAATATCTACTATTACTTCATTTAAATAAAAGGAGGGTTCTCATTCCCGAATAATCTGGTCACCTAGTTGAAAGTCATACTGGTCTCATTATATTAATAGTAAAATAAAATTGGCACAGAAAACAGTTGCAGGCTAAGGAGAAGTTAAGTACACCCACAGCACTGCTGCTCACATGTACGTGTGTCACGCCACCAAGAGGGACCTCGTCAGTGTGTATAGACTTTTCCAATTATCTCAGATATTCAGGTGTGGATGCGAAAGTTTGACTTTAACATTAGGATACAGCATTATGGATTTCTGTTTCTAGTCATTAATGAGTTTTTGCTATACATACTTCAAAGAAAAAATTATTTTTGTTTATTATTACATGCAGTCACTTCATATAAATATCTGAATAGTAAACGGAAGAAAATAGTTTTAAGTCATGGTGCCAAATTCAAAAAAAGGCTCTTGGACACTTACTTGTTTGTTTACAGTGAGTTCCTGGAGATTTTGAGTAGTTTTCCTGGATGCGGAGCACAGTTCAGCCTTATTTGGCCGCTAAGGGGTTGTGTTGGCAAGCTTATTCTTTTTTAAGTCCTGGTTGTCCTTGATGATGGGAGAAAGGGATAGCAGGGATAATTGGAATCCACAGCCTCTTTGCCTGTCCATCAAACCTTCAAGCAGAGATGGTAACAAGGAACCAGATCTTTATTCTGATTTTACCATTTATTCTTACCCTTGTTTTTTGGTGGAAACAGCAAACAAGCAAGTATCTAAGAGACCCAAGCCAAGAAACTCATGACTCAAGCCCTAATTATATTTTATTCTTGCCTCCAGAGAAAGAAAACAAAGCTTTTATCTAATCTGGTGGGAAATACTCTTCAGCAGTAAAAGTAGCTTTTCTGAGTCAAATAAAAATCATTTAAGAATATTTGCCTTAAAGGAACACAGCATATGGAAGAGGTTTGTTTAAAGTTGTTTACAAATGTTTGACTATTTTTGATGAAGTGTTTTAGAGTATTGGATGTCTTTCTCTCCCCAAGTTTCTTTTATGTTCCTAGTTTCAGCTCCTGCCTGTAGCCAGACCACAGGCCTTGCCTGTGAAACTTCTCTTTTTGTAAGTGTGTGGTTTTCATCAATCAACTCCTTTCTTCAAATGGTAGGAAATTCTACTTCTGTCATTCAGAACATTTAATGTAAAATGATGTAATGCAGATATTTCTGTGCATACTGTACAATTGAAGGAAGCTTTTCAGATTTATTTTTGTCTGTAATAAAATTCAGATTGTTATTCTGAACTTGTTCATAAAAATGGCGAATTATTTATATCAGCAAATAAGTTATGAGGTGTTCTTGTCCAACAGTGTGTTTACCTTACACAAAATCAAAAAAATGAAACGTCAGTATTCTTATAATAACAGTTATAACGACATAATCATGATTTTTGAGTTGCATTAAATATACCATTCCTTTATCAACCTAACCCCCCCAGAGAACACATATGCACACATACATACATTCGTAAAAACTCTTACCGTCACTTTAGTAAATGGATCCATTCCTTCACTCATTCCTTTAGCAAATATTTATTGAACACTGATAATAAGCCAAGCTGCTATGCCTAATGCCGAGTTAACGGGCAGTTCCAGTCGCGTGGCTGTTAGATGGTATTCCCATTTCACAGATGAGAAAATAGACTCCCACAAGTAAGACTTGTGCTGGAGCCTGCTTTCCCACCGCCATCTGTTTTAAGCAGTGTCACATGCAAAGGGATTCTGGGGCCACTGTCAGCCCATGATGTCAAGAGCAGCACAGGAAAAACTTCAGCCGAACAGCAAACAGGAAGGAGAACACAGGTCACTTGGAACTTGCCGGCATGGGGCTTTGTGACCACTTTACAGATAGCGACAAAGCCCACAGTGAGGCCGCATGTCTCTTCTAAATCCAGCTCTGCTCTGACCCCCTCTGTCATACCGTGAATTAAAGTGCTTGCTAAGTTCCAAGGCGCTTCAGCTTTCACATTCTTTATTTGATAGATAAGGGTGTCTTCCTTCTTCCAACCCCTTTCCCTGAAAGATTTGCCAAAAATGGGAAGACAAATAATGATCCTGTTAGGCTTAGTCTGGAAAGAAGACTTGTTCACTCAGGAAAATGAGGCTCAACCTGGGATTTTGTTTTGCGCTTATTTTTTTAATTTTTGTTTGCCTCTTTTTTTTTTTTTCTTAATTGGAGTATAATTTTTACACAGTAAACTACATCCATTTATAAGTGTATAATTTATTGAGTTGTGATATACATATAAATTTATGAAACCACTGAACAAGCAGGATTGTGAACCTCGCCCTCGCCCTCACCCCCACACATGCTCTCACGCCCCTTTACCACCCATCTCTCCCTTCTCCCCGGCCTCAGACACTCATCTGCTTTCTAACAAAACAGATCAGTTCCCATTTTCTGGAATTCTATGTAAATGAAATCACACAATATGTACTTCTTAACTTTTTAAGCTTTTTCCCTTTCTTAATAGTTGTTTTAATTCCTTTGAGAGGGAATTTTAATTAAGCCACTTTTTAGTGATACTTGAAAACCTTCCTGTGTATCAGTCAGTCTTTGAAGGAAAACAGTTTAGGACGCTTGTAATTATGTCCATTGTGGCCTGTTTTACTGCAACGTTCTGAAACATTTAACATCACTGTGTTTCTATAAACCTTAATACTTTGCTTACAAAATCTCTTGCATTTGTTTGTTAAAGCCTTTTTATATCTGCGTTGCTTGAGGTGTTAGAAATGTAAATGGACATGACAAGTCGCACATTAGTAGGACCATGATACTTTTCAGCAAATATGGTTGATCAGTTTAACTTCAAAAAAAAAATTCTGCTCTTCATTTTTATTCAGATTGTAGCTGCTTATTGCTTACTCAAAATCCTAGGAAAAACTAGGATGATTACTGTGCCACAGACAAGATGCAAAACAATATTTTAAGAAATGAAAATCCTCTTTTAAAAATATTTGACATGGTATCTGGTATGGATGCTGTCGGTGGTCCTTCTTGGATAGAGGGGTCCACATAACTAAGATCACACTGGCCAACCACATACTTCTAACTGCTAGGACCTGTGCTCCTTTCCCATCAGTGTTTACTACTCCGAAATCTCATCCCACAGTCCATGAGGTCCCACCAAAACAGTTACTCAGATGACCTGCCCTTTGTGTTAATTTTTTCAGTGAAGCCTCTCTGAGAAGCAAATGGTCATTTAACTTCAGAGTTTTATGGTGCTTTTATATTTCCAAGTAGTGAAATGCATTCTTTCTGTAATTTAATGGCCAGTGGTTTCTTAAAGATGCCATATAGCAGCAGGACAATTACTTTGAAAGCACCAGAAATTACCGAGTAAATGTTGGATATTCATCTTCTGAAAAGCAAAAGTAATTTACAAAATGCAGTTACCTTTCAGACTGTTTTATCTTTGTGGATACCTCTCATTTTTACAGGAATGACTATATTAATTATCAATTGATACATTTACTAAACTCAAATTAGAGACTGAAGAAACCTGAAAAGGGATGTAACTTTTTTTATGGTTGAAGAAAAAATGACAATATTCCTTCATCAGATACCCTTTTAACTTTTAATCAGTTTCCTACAGATACACCTATCATTTAAAATGTGATGTGCACATTACTTTCAAAACTTGACACCACTCTTGTGGTATGTATGCCTTTTGCATGTACCATGAGAATCTTAACATATTTTTTCTTTGAGGATTGGAAATATGTCTCCATTCTCTAAGATGCATATGAAAATGACGAGTTTGTGTGCTTACAAAACATCTATTTCAGTACATTAGGGCTGTTATACTATTAGTACATTACTGGACAACAGTCTAACTTAAATATTTATATTAAAGCTCATAGGTCTGACTATATACTTCTGTCTTCCCATTCACAATTCCCTGTTTTATTTATAGGAGGTTTGAGGAAGTGGTACAGATTTCCTTGGCCTAAGCTGAACATTTCTTCCTTTTTCTCTTTCTCTTTTATCCATATCAGAAAAATTCTATAGTCTTAGTGCTCTAGACTTTGTACATTAACTATAGTTATTGGATCAGTTTGGCTACTGCCTGAAATAATGGCTTAAGTGAGATAGCAGATTTTTTTTTCTCATAGAAAAATTTTGAAGTACAAAAATTTTTAAAGTCCAAAGTTCTGCTCATCTGCATCCCAGCCAAAGAGGAAAGGGAAAGGGCAGGAACATGTCACCCGCATCCGTTTTCCTGAACTTAGTCACGTGGCCGCTACCTGCAGGGAGGCTGGGAAATGTCCGATGAGCAGCCGTATGCCTAATTAAAGGGTAAGAATTCAGTCACTAGAGAAGGACCACAAAGATGCAGAGGACAGTGAGTAGCCGGCACCACACTCTTGGAAAGGAAACTAGGCCACTGCCTCCTCTACTTCCTCTGTCCCCATTCTCCCTGGAAAAATGGAATAGGAAAAGCCATCTCTGACAAGAATGCACAGGTAATTTACATTTTCATTAGTGTCAAAATCTGACCAAAATGGTGTACACTTAAAAACTTCCCCTGTATTTATAACTAATGCAGCTTGGGGAATAACCTAATTTCAAAATGTGAAGTTGGAACACTTTAGTTGGAACACTAATTGGGAACCAGACTTGAAGTAATTTAAATGCTTAGTATCAGACAATCGACCTTAGAAACTTTCAATTACATCTCCAATCAACAAATAGAGACTTTCGTAGAACTAAACCACTATGATGAGAAAATGAAAATTAGCCATAAGAGGAAAAAATGTTTAAGAAACAGGTATCATAAAGCAACAAAGGAATTAACATTTCCTAAGTGTATACTATGTTTCAGGCATTTCTTAAATGTTAGTTACCCCTGCGTTAGAAAGCAAAGCCCAGAGATGTTTGAAAACTTGCCCAGCTAGTAACTGATGAACTCCAGTTCAAACCCGGTCTTCTAAACCTCAACACCTAAAAAATCTCATTTTTAATTAGGCCTGAATACATTTTCTTGTAGGCTTAACAAAGGGGAAGAGAGCCCTAAGCCCATTCACAAAGTCTATTTGATCTTTAATGGGAATGAAATGATAATGCCATTGAATGGAACAACTCCAACAAGAACTATGAGGAAAAACAAAAATGAAATGGTTGATGTCTTCAGGTGTTGACATTGTATTGTGGGGTTTTTTTTCCGTTTTAAAAGTTCTTAACCTTTTTATTGCTTTCTGCGCAGTAAAAAATAAAGTCAGGACGGGAGACCTAAGCCCTTTGCCATGGGCACAGCATGTGGGGCCCTTGGAGGAATCCCACCGGGGTAGAACTTCCCCTTCCTCTGTTGGCGCAAACCTGGTCCCTGCTGGTGGGTGGGCCTGAGGGAAGGGGATTCCGAAGGTTCTCCCGTGGGTTTGATTAGGGTGAAGCACGGTCCCAGCAAGAAGCACGAACAAATGAATTGGCACTTCAGTGGCTATGAGCTGTTTTTAATGCATGCTCTGTGGGCCCCAGCTTCTGAAATTCTGCTTCACCATGGCAGGATATAACCCAGGGATATAAATTTTTTTTTCAAGTTCCCCAAGTAACTTGCACAAATTTGAGAATTACCTACACCATTGAGCTGACAGGATTTTGGCAACTGTAAGTTTTCTAGCTCCTAACCCATCTGGTAATGTGAAAGCTAAGAGGATTAGTGTGATACTGTTGACTTATAATCATAGGTATTGGGTCTTTGTCCCGTTCCTGTTGCACAGCTCCTAAACTGTTAGAATTTCCTACGTGATGAGAGCAGTAAAGGTACCTTTTGTTATTTTACCGAGGTGACTTTTTGGAAAGCCCCTGAGTGACCCAAAAATGGGGACTGGTTGCCAGGGCAAGTAACCAGTTCGTTAGAAGGTTGAAACTTCCAGTCCCACCCCAAGGCCTTGGGGAAGGGGAGAGGGGCTGGAGTTTGAGTTCAGTCACTAATGGCCAGTGATTTAATAGGTCATGCCTGTGTAATGCAACCTCCATAAAAACCCCAAAAGGACGTGGTACAGAAAGCTCGCAGGTGTTGAACGCTGGGAGGTCTGGGGAGAGTGGCACGCTCACAGTATGGAAGCTCTGAGCCCTGTCTGGATACCTTGCCCTATGCATCTGTCTTACCTGGCTGTTCGCAAGGCATATCCTTTTATAATAAACCAGTGATCTAACAAGTAAAATATTTCTGTGAGCCACTCTGGCAAATTAATAAAATCCAAGGAGGAGGGTTCAGTGGGACTAATCTCTAGCCAGCCAG